GTGAGAGTGAGAGTGAGAGTGAGAGTGAGAGTGAGAGTGAGAGTGAGCGTGAGCGTGAGCGTGAGCGTGAGCGTGAGCGTGAGCGTGAGAGTGTGAGTGTGAGAGTGAGAGTGAGAGTGAGAGTGTGAGAGTGAGAGTGAGAGTGAGAGTGAGGGTGAGAGTGAGAGTGAGAGTGAGAGTGAGAGTGTGAGAGTGAGTGGGTGAGTGAGTGACTGACAGAGACCGCTCCGATCCCTCGTACCTGTCACGAAAAGCCGGCTTTGGATCCTCCTGCCATGAAAAGTGACACCATGTCCAAAAAAACGCGCACGGTGCTACAATGAGAGCGCAGTCGCGACAACCAGATTCTGCGAGCCTGCGCAGTCGAAATGCACTTCGAGGATGTTGAGAGGCATGAATGTACTGTAAATAGTGAATTAGCCGGACACGGATGCGCGACACCTCGATTAGACACCGTTGCCATAACATGCTGTAACTACTATCGTAAGAACCCCTAGTGCGTTGAAACTGCTTGGAATTTATGCCCCGCGTCCACCAACTTGCAGTCGCAAACTGTGGAAAAAGTTGAGCGCCGACGTTAATGCTATGAAGAGGTTTCGTTGGCTTGGGCTGCGCAAACTCCAATTATCTGTTTCCTTCGAGGACACCCGTGGTCAAAGGGACAAGGCCCCTATTTCTCTGCCTGCTCCAATAGTATATTCGACTTAAGTTGTTTAACGATCGAATCCAAAACGCAAAAAATGAGGGTGGTGCGCCCATCTTTATCAAGAAAGCTTTAACCGCCTGTCTGGGAGCTAAATAAAAAGTTGAATGCCTTCGTCAAATCCAAAGTGCCCCCCCACCACACGGATACTGTGTCTTTTGTCTTTTCCAACAGAACTGTTGCCAAATAGTTATATGTTTGACGACTATGTGATGAAGAATGCTTCCGGAGATTTGTGGCGGTGATCGAAATCTCCATTCCGCTAAAAGTTGATCTGCAATCATCATACTCAAAATATGGCGCCGAAGAAAACCTTAAAATCACCCATTTGTACCAAGTGATTCCATAGTCCTTGTAATCAGAAAACTCGTCTGCGGATGGCAATACCAAAATTCAATAGAAAGCCGAAACACGACGTTTGACTTTTCTGCCCGAATATGACGAGGCATGTTCTGCGGCACGGTGAATTTCAAGTTGTAATTGCCACGTGGAAGCCCGGACCTTCCACTGTGCAAACTTGGTTGTGAATTACACGTGAAAGCCAACAGTCTGCATCTGGTGAATTTGTGCTGAATTGGATTCTTTGTCGATTTGTCGTAAAGTTTGATAGACCTTCGAAAGTATTCAACCTGAGCCTCAGGATGATGGTAAACAGTCTGCGCTGCTTCGCGGAGCCTGAGAAAGTTTTGCTTGTTGGTGAAATTTACAGTCTCATTTGCAACAAAATAACACCAAGTCACCAAGTTCGTTGCAAGTCCGACCGAAAGGATGTCCTACCAATCTTTGGGATTTGACTCTCTGCATTGTAAAGCACGAAGGGTTCCACGGCTTTGGCAAATCAAATCTGCATGAGCCTTCAGCAACGTACATGCTTAGCCATCTGCAAGTTCTTTGACAATACGCGCAACAATGGTCCAGAATATGAAAGTGTCATGCGTTCAACTATCCTCGTGACTGCTTCGAGCTCAGCTCGATTATGGTCTGATACTTGTAGACGGATGTTTGTACCACCCCATAGTAGTGGTAAGATGCGTTGACGCTACTTGAGTTTCGCTGTTGAATCACCACCCGGACTGCCCAGCAACAGTTCAAATTTTGGAGACATCACATGAACCATCTGTGCAAAAACTCGACGCGGTCAAACAGATCTACAGGCGGAGAGTAAAAAAGGGCCCGGTCAAACGGCTTGCAAGCGATTGAAGATTAATTGTTCCAGATGCATAAAAGGAAGAGGTGGGAGCATTCGACGCAAAATAGCAAACGATGTTGATGTGGATCGATTTGAGCTCAGTGATGATCACACAAGGCATCTTGTGTAAATGCTAGATAGCTTGTGTCACATTTCCCTGATAACTTTCTGGCATTACAATAAGACGAAGGGGTATATCACCCACGGATTTGGGTGTAGTCATCGAAAGGCAAAGGTGTGGTACCTTTGCGGCGCGGAGCCTCTGATATCACATAGCACCACCGTTCATGATTGAATACTTGGCGAATGCTCTGTGTAGGATCAAACATAATCGACTGCCAGGGAAGATGATTGCACCATCATTGCATGTTGAGCATCAATCCTACTTAAAGGTGCTACAAGACAAGGTCCAGCCGGGGTTTGTCTGCGTCAACGATTCAACCAGTCAACTAACCAAGCAAACAAAAGAGCAATCAAGTCAAGTGACCAGCAAAGAATCAAACAAAACCAAAAACTTACCTATATACCAAGCAATTAAAAAGCTGTCAGCGCTTACTTGGCGTGGGCCACCACCAAATTGCTGAGCGGGTTTCTGCACGAACCACCAGAACCAGGCAACGTAAAATGCCGGTTTCAGAACACACATCACACCCTTCTCCCATCCTCCCTCTAGGTCTCCGCGTTCAAACCCTCTTTGACAGGGAGAATAGCGAATTAATCTGTTTTCAATGACTTCCGCGGAGGGTGTCTACATTCACAAAGTGTCTTCCCTTGAAAACGACCCCGTCCAGAATCCATAGAACATTGAGACATCTCCCAAAAAGGGATCTCACGCGGGCATGTCGCAGAAAATCATGTCTTACGAACGGCAACCATCCGGTCGCCTCTGGCACGGTCTTGGTCGTCCAGCAGTCGGCGTGTGCTTTCACCCGCATGCCACCAGTGGCTTGGGACTGGCAGAAAGAGAGAACGAGGACGCCCAGAACTGGAAAATAGAACGGTGAAACAGACCAAATCCAAATCGAGTGCCAACGGATGCTCGTTTGCAACGCTCTCTCGGTGTCAAAGCGTGCAAAGTATGACGAGTATGTAAAACGAAGTACCTGTGATGTCGTTCGCACCTCCCTACCATCCTGCTCCCTAGCAAGCACACGGAGTGCCACAAGGCAGATCGCTGAGTGTTTGGGACAAGGCCACAGGGTCACGACCATGCAGTTTCACCTTAAATGTGGACTCTTGATGATATTTCAACCCTCCATATGAAGAGGCTCTACAATCCATGTCCGTCCGGGGCAGTTTTATCTACAGTACATTGTTATTGTTACATTATATAAGCCTAAAGGGTCCTTTTTCGCTCAATTCGCCAGAATCCACTACAGTATCCAATACGGCATTATCATATCACCATCTCCTGTCACCCCTTTCCTCTTTCTATATATATATATATGTGACGAATGTTTTCCACAGAAGAACTTTTTGGAATGCGGGAGAATAATGATATCTCCTTGAATTCCAACACCTATTGGGATGGTCACATGTCAGATTTGAGTCTGTGGGCAGACACTCCCTTGGAGCAATACCCATATCCGATAGTCGTAAATCCCATCACAAGCCATGGGATATGGCAGTGGGTATATGGGTAGAAGCAAAGTCCTAGCATTCTTTTGCTCCTTCGTCCATGGTCAGCATCCGAAACAAATCAAACAGCCGCAAACATGGCCGGGCGGACGACACAGCGCCTCCCTTCTTTGTCCACAAAGTTGCCATCACCCTTAAAACCTTCCGTGGCCATCGCCCCGGCGTTCCGCGCTGGTCGAACGGAAGAGGATTGACAAGGCTGGTCACCGACAACCGACAACTGTCCCACCCAGACGGCGGGATCATCTCATCAGTTTGGGCGCATTCTCCGGTCCTTGCGCCAGCTCTTCCCAATCATTCGCAGTTCACGTCCGAAATCGACCCCCCTTTCTTGCCCCCTCCCCCCTTTGTCCAGGACATTTGGGGGAATTCGTTTCACCCGGCGACCGGACCATCACCGAATACCTGCCGGTGCGTTCGTGTCACCCGCCGACCCGGTGGGTTCTTTGGTCCAACCACCGGACGAGGACATCAGCCCGAACCGGAGTGAACCGGAGGACCGGACTCACTCCGCTCGGGTGGAATGACCAACCACCAACCCAAAAGCAAAGGCATGATCGTCATGCTTTACTGCTTCTGTGCAGCTTCGAATGAAAAAATCCAAGCTTGACCCAGAGTAAGTCACAAGCTCCAGGAAGGAGAAAACTACCAAAAATAGCCATGTCCATGTCTGTCCTTCAAGTTGCTTTGTACTTATGCTTAACCTCCCTTGGCCAACTCGTAAGTTGCTCAAGCCTCCCCAACACTTCTTGACCTCAGCTAGCTGTGCGAAAGTGAGCTGGCGAAAGACCAAAGAAAACTCAGTTGAATATTATGCCAAGTAGCCAACTTGAGAAAAGGGCGGTAGACGAAAGGTTGAAAGTTGGTAAGCGACGAAGGGTGGGTACGGGCAGCAGCAAAGGCGGCAGCAGCAGCAGCAGCAAGAGCAGAGCAGAGCAGAGCAAAGCAGCAGCAACAACAACAACAACAGCAGCTCAGAAGCTCAACAGGAATCCAATCACACCGAGGCTGCAGCACCACTAGCAAGGAAGCAGAATAACGAGGGGGGAGGAGAAGCTCGATACGAATCCATTGACACCAAGCCACAATACTACGATTGAAAAGAAATTCACCCATCCCAGGAGGAGTTGAACCCGGCGTTCCCCCTAAGCCCTGAAGAGTCGCCTTTCGTGACCCCCAAAATCACGTCACTTGGGAAGGCCCCCTAGGCCCTAAGCTAAAGCTCATCGAACTCAAGGTTGCTGTGGCAACCTACCTTGAGTTCGAGTAGCTACAAGCGAACAGGATTCCAACCCCACGCACCCCGCGGACCCTGCGCACGGACCCCTCAGATCCCACAACTCCCAGCTGAGGGCTCTGACATACATGCCCTTAGGACACCAAGCCTCAGAGGATGTTGTGTTGGGCATATGTCCTCTGCAAACCACGGCTGATGGATCGCAAATGATTGGTCATCTTGAGAAGACTTGCAAAATGCCCTCTCTTGCTTTGACTGGTGATGTTTAATGAGACAGAAGGGAACTAAGTACAAGTACAATGCAGCATTCACAAAATAGTGCGACAAAAACAACGCGTGATAATAGCGTGAGCATCAGTGCCCCTTTCCAATTGGCCTGCAATATATGGTGTGTACTACATAGACACACACACATGTATATATGTATATAATATCATCACATGTATATATACTGTATATGCTCTGTCAGGCTTTCCTGCTACAATGGTCAGCAAAGGGGCTCTGACCGCATAAGAAGAATCCTGGTCCATCCCTGCACCCAATCAAAACGTCATCTGTGCACCAGACATCACCCCTCTGCCCCCCTTTCCGGGTGCCAGGCGTGGGCTTGCTTGTCGTCTCCCCGCTTAGACCAGCCGGAATTCACGCGGTGGCTGTTCTGCAGGGTGGGGGCGAGTGGCGTTGGCGGGAACGGTGCGGCTTTTTGGAGATTCGAGTGGGAAAGGTGGCAGAATCCCAGCTCAACAGCCGAACTCAGCATCGGGCCCGGTAGTCATCTAGTCAGCTGCATCGACGCTGGCCAAGGCAGTTCACTTGAAATGAGCATGCCCAATCAAAAAGGACGCATGCAATTGGGGATGTGGACGACACATCAAGAAGCGACCATGCCAACAAAAACATGATGGGTGCAAAGACTCTTGCACTGCACTACTCAAAGGGTACCGGGTACAGCCCGACCCAAAGTGTACAACAGTACAACCCCACCCAATGACATTTAGTTTCCCACCGGCAACAAAAAACTGTCAACGGGAAGGTCTTTTGTGCTCCGGAATGGGAGAGATCACATTTTAAAAAAAGGCTTCATGATCGAATATACGAGCATGAAGAGTCGAGTGAATGCGCTTCTCCTAAAACACCCCAGGGCAAGGCGCGCCTTGCAGTCCCGGCCGACCAGCACATAGCCAGCATGGCAGCTGTTGCAGTGGTTTTTGGACTCAGTCGAATCAAAGAGCTTGAAGAACGGTAAGTGGATGCTGACATGGGGATGCTGACACTCAAACCAGAACTAACGTCAGTACATGCCCTTCTCATTGATGATCTGCGCGGAAAATAATCCCAGACTTCGGAAGACCGCAGTCTCCCTGATCCCTATTGGAGTGACAAAAATGAGTTCACCCTAGAGACATGTAGAGAAACGAAATGACCCAGTCCTTCTAATTTGAAACAGAGAACAACCGACTCATCTATGCCAAAACCCATGCACCGACTCATCTTTTGTATGCCACCTTCCACTTCCGACCGTCCACACCTCCGACCACCCTTCCGCCAAGTCACCTTCCGTTGGTTGAAGGCTGGGCAGCTCTTGCAGTTGCCACCACACCTCCGATCCTCAGAGCCGTGCCCGGGCCCTGTCGTGGCACGGCAGCTCCGGTGGGTCAACCGCGAAGGTAGCACCGCGTTGCGGCATCTTGCCAGGTGTCTGTTGGCCATTGGAAATAGGTGATGTTCGGATACGTTTGGTTCCAACAAAGTGATCCTTTCATCTACTCGCATCTGCTCATAATCATCCAAAGGCAGGCTTAGGTAGACTCATCCATCCAAGGGCCCAGCCACAAAAAGCTGGGCGATAGCAATGCAGCCAAGTTGCATGACATTTGCTCCGATGCAACTTGAAGTCTCTATGGCATGCAGTACATGCCTCAGCTACAAAACACAAAGAAGCCCCTCCTTTCAATCTGATCCAAAGCAGAACAGGATCTATAACCGAAACTTTGAAGCCCATCCAAACTGGCTTAGGCTTTCCGGGTGCCATACGTGCTTAGGTTTACGACACCCAGAATATTCCAAAACCGCTCCACCCGACAATCTTTTCCTCTCACAGTG